AACAGAAATGAGGAATCATAACATGAGACGTTGAAGCTGCTTGTAGTTCTTCAACTCTTTATGGTATTGAACAATGGCTTCCCTACAATCCATAGGGTTAGATACCCAATCTGTATAAGAGAACACACAGCCAGATTTTTTATTTTTAAGCCATAGAAATGATTTAGCCTGGATAAACTCCAATAACTGAGCTTCAGTCATAGAAACAGTTTGAAACACCTTGATATTCCTCCAGTACCATACGAACCAAGCACCAACCAAAAAAATAAGAGCTCCCAACTCCTTTAACCGTCCCCCACCTATTCCATACACCACATACTCCACCAACCCAAATATATTATTTGGTAAGACACTTTGCAAACCCCACCAATCCAAAATCTTCATCCAAAGTATCCACACCCCTTTACACTCACAAAAAATATGATGCAATTGCTCCACCCCCTCATGACAAAAACCGCATCCAACATCCTCCCCTAACGAAACAATCCCTCTTTTACATAAATTCTCCCTTGTGGCCAGCCTATTCAAAAATAATCTCCACCCAAAAACACTTAATTTAGAAGGAACATATTTACTCCAAATAACTTTAGTCCACTTCCCATCCAAAATACTAACCTTCGGTGTTAAAAAATCATACGCCACCTTTACCGAATATGAACCATCTCCACTATGTATCCATCTCCACGAATCTACTCCATCATTCTTCAACTTTACACCATCAATCAACTCCCTAAGCTGTTCTTCCTCACCAACCGCCCTCCCTAGACACCCATGTCTCCACCTACAAACCCATACCCAACCATCATCACTCCAAAGACCCATATCCTTTAACAACCCCTCCCTATTTGTAGACAATGCAAACAACCTAGGAAATAAATCCTTCAAAGGCTTTTCTCCCACCCACTTATCGCTCCAAAAATTCACACAACTTCCATCCCCCACTTTCCATTTAAAGCCCTTTACAAGCATCTCCAAAAGCCTTACAGACCCACTACCCACACTCACAATGTCCTTCCACACCCGAGACATATTAAAAGATGCAAATGAAGTAACTTCAACCTCCTTTTGACTCCCATAATATTTCTCCCAAATCACCCTCTTCCATAAACCCTCTAAACCATCACCTAACCTATACCACCATTTACCCAACAAAGCACAATTCCTCCTCTCCAAATCATCCACTCCTAAACCACCTCTCTCCTTATCCACACATATACTGTCCCAACTAACCCATGAAATCTTTTTATCCAAATTCACACCACCCCAAAAAAAATTCCTTTGAATTTTAACTAACTCAATAAGCACACATTTAGGGATTTTAAACAACGAAAAGTAAAAAATAGGGAGAGCAGAAAGTACCGAGTTAATTAAGGTAATCCGACCTCCAAAGGACAGTAGTGGGCTTTTCCACGAGGCAAGCTTAGATCGAAAACGGTCCAGCACTGAATTCCAGAACTTCTTCCTCCTCGGATTCCCCCCTACTGGCAAACCAAGGTATATAAAAGGCACCTTGCCTACTCCACAATGCAAAATAGCTGCTGCACCTTTTACCCACCCTTCTGAAATGTTAAACCCATACAAATGACTCTTGCTGAAATTAACCTTCAACCCTGAAATCAATTCAAACAAATGCAAAATAGCCTTCACAACCCTTAAATTATCAGCACATGCCTTTCCCATAAAAACAAAGTCGTCTGCAAACTGAAGCAATGACAAACTCATACCCCTCGTCCCAATATCCACCCCTTGAAAAAGCCCTTCACTCTCAGCTTTCCTAACAAGCCCACACAGCCCTTCTCCAACTAATAAAAATAAAAAAGGAGACAAAGGATCACCTTGACGAAGACCTTTACTAGTTGTAAACTCCATTATTGGACTTCCATTCATTAGAATAGAAATCCTAGCTGTTGAGAGACATTCACGAATCCACTTCCTCCATTTAGCCCCAAACCCCATTTTATCCATCATCCAATCCAGAAAATCCCAATTCACACAGTCATAAGCTTTCTCAAAATCAGCTTTAAAGATGAAACTCTCTTGTTTTCTCCTTTTTACCTCATCCACAGCCTCATTTAAAATCAGCACACTATCCACCAATTGCCGCCCACCAACAAACGCTGATTGCGATTCACTGATAATATTGGCTATGACCTTTTTCAACCGATTCGCCAAGACTTTTGCCAATAGCTTATACAAGCACCCAATCAAACTAATAGGTCGATACTCCTTAAATTGCACTGGATTCAACTTTTTGGGGATTAACGTCAAAAATGATGAATTAAGACCTTTAACTAACCTCCCATGACGATGAAATTCCTGCAGGAAATTCACAAAATCCTCCTTCATTGTGCTCCATGCAAATTTGATAAAATTAAAATTGAAACCATCTGGTCCTGGTGCCTTCGATCCATCACAACTTCGAAGTCCTTCTTCAATTTCCTCTATTGTGAAAGGTCTTTCCAACCACTCCTTTTGTATCGCAGATATTCTGCGGAATTGAATCCCACCCAAGACAGGGCGACGCCACTTTTCATCTCGAAACAGCTTGCTAAAATACTTAACTGCCTCCTCCTTGATTGCATCTGGTTCCTCAACCCAACCCTTCTCGCCTATGATACCAGATATGCCATTCTGTGCTCTCCTTGCATGAACACTCCTATGAAAGAATGCTGTATTTGCATCTCCCAAACGAACCCAATTCGTCCGTGCTTTCTGCTTCCACACAGCTTCTCTCTTTCTTAGAATTTCCCACATCCCCTGAAAACACTCCTTTCTCAATAGCACCTCATTCTCTTCCAACTCATACTCCTCACTTTTTTTGTCCAACCTCTCAACCTGCTTTACTAGGGTGTCCAATTGAGTCTCCACATTGCTAAACACCCCACTGTTCCATCCTTTACAATCTTCTTTTAAAAGCTTCAACTTCTGTTTACATTTGTATGAGGCCCATCCTTCGATTTGCATAGCCTTCCATCTATTCTCCACAAATTCTCGAAAATCTGGATGTTGTTGCCATGCATCAAGTACTCGAAAAGGCTTAGGACCCCAATCCACATTTCTTGATGTCAAAATAATTGCACAGTGATCAGAAATTGATCTTCGAACACCAACTTGATTCCAATCCCTATCCAACAAACTCATTTCTGTAGATAGCAGAAATCTGTCAAGCCTACTCATTGAAGTTCCATTTGGTCTGTACCACGTAAATTTCCTATTCTGCAACCTGACATCAATTAACCCGGTCCCTTCCACAAAATGATTAAAATCTTCCATGTCCTGAGTTTCTCCTAATCTTCCCTTCCTCTCTGTGACATTTTGAACTGTATTAAAATCCCCTGCCACAAGCCATCTACCACCCACTTCCAAAATCGATCCACCAATCTCTTCCCACAAAGAAGCCTTCCTCTGCCTATCACATGGAGCATACACATTAACAAAGTTGCATGTAGTGTGCTGACTTCCCCATTCACCAGAAATTCCAATAAACCCGTTTCCTTCTATCACTCTTTGCTTGACAAAATTTTTCTTATTCCATATAGACAACATACCACCCGAACTACCCACTGATTTTTGCATAACCCAGTCAAAATCATCTGAATTCCACAAAGTTCTACATAACGCAACTTCCACTTCCTCTAATTTAGTTTCTTGAATAAATAGAAAATCTGGCCTCTCCTTTCTAACTAACTTAGCAATCTCCTTCCTCTTCAATATACTACCCAAACCTCTAATATTAAACGAAATCACTTTCATAAAGAAAATTTTACCTCACAAACTCCATTCCGCCAGCACCCAGAACTTCAGGCCCCCCTGGAATTAACCACAGTCCTCTCCTCCAAAGCTACCAGCCGAGAAATCACCTCTTCATCGTTTTGTTGACACTGAATCCCCAACCGTTGCCCCAACTCAAAAATTTCCATCACCTCTTTTGTCTCCAATTGCCGTCGAATTATCCCATTTTTGTGCTGAATGCAGCCATCCGACACGGAGCAGCTCTCCTGCTGCAGATTCGGCCTCACCTCTTCTAGCGTTGCTAGAACCCTTCTATCCCTTCTACTCTTTGCTCGTGCCGTGATCCAACTAGTGCCCCTTCTCATCGATTTGTCCTCTCCAGCCTCCCTTGCATAAATCTCCTTCAGAGTTCTGCGTTTTTTCCCCGTCCAAGCCATCGGTTGCAGCTGTGTAGAAACCTCTTGGGTTTTAAATATGGACCCACCATTAGGCTGAGCTTCCTCCAACCCAAATATATTGTCACCAACTCCCGGCCCAACCTATTTCCCCTTATCCGGCCCAAATTCTTCTAGCCCATTTAGGCCACCAAACCCAGCCGCTTCTTTTCCCTTCGACTCTGCATGTCTACTTAACTCTTTAAATGAAACCAAATCCATCACAGCATGATCTTCGGCCACCTCTCTGCCATCTTCGCACAGAAGGCCATTTCCATTGAAATTCAAATTCAAATTGCTGTAACCCGTCATCACCTCCTCCATCGTCGCTGCTGGAATATTCCGAACTAGGTTGAGTGGCTGGATTTCGACGTTCTCCGGCCAACCACCAGTCCGATCCATCCTCCACTCCTCCTCTGACACTGCTATTGGGAAATCCTCACCATCGACGCGCAAACAAATGGTTGTTGCTATTTTCCTCTTTTCTGCACTCAAAATCAACACCCTTCCTTCGCATAAAAACGATTTACTCCTCGTATCCTCATCAACAAGTATCACCTCTCCAATTATGCTCCCTAATTCTATGAAGCATCTCTCACTCCATGCCTTCAACGGAACCCCATTGAGCCGAAGCCATACCAGTCTACACAATGAAGAAACTGTGGATAAAGAACATGGCTTTATCCATTCAAACCACAATTCCACCACTTCTCCATTTTGGGTAAGAAACTCCTCCAGGCCACCTTCCGAATTATCCACTAAAATGACTTGTCGACCACCAAGCAGAGCCACATTCACTAGTATTCCCTCCACATCCAAATGGATTTGGATTCTCTTCACCATATCCAAAGACCGAACCTCAGCCACCATACTGCGTTTCAGCCATGCTACTTCCTCATCTTTAGGAATAAAGTTTAAAACCCGCTCCATTTCTGGCCCAGAATCCTTCTCAGGTGCTGTCTCCGACATCACCTTCAATTCCCTCACCCTTAAAACCTCATCCCCCGCATCCTCCATGGCCCCGTTTCCTTTCGTTGCAACACCCTGCTTGGCCCCATTAGTGGAGGACTTCCCTTCCTCTAGTGCACCTCTATTTCCAGCAACGACTTGAGCATAAGTTTTCCCCGAAGACACCTTACTATCTCTTCTAATCCATTTTTTCTCCAACTGCTTGTGCTGTCCCAACACTGTCTCCTCCCTTCCTCTTTTCATATTCTCAACAAGCTTCACCTTGAGATAATAAGAGTCTATCTTAATCTGGTTCAACTTCCTCTCCATCTCCCTAACATTTGAGACATTCACCATACGAACAAACCCAAACCGACGGCCTCTTCGATCGTGCTTTGCTGGAATATACACATCTGCCACCTTCCCAAATGACCAAAAACAATACCACAAATCCTTTGCTGATTGATCTGCTGGAAAATCATAGAAGAAATACGAAGTTGCCTGCCCAAGATACTGCTTGCCATACTGTGGAAGCTGCCTCCTGATCCCACTGCCACTGTCCTTGGCTGTCGGAAACCTAGCCCTAACCCTAGCACTCTCTCTCTCTAACTCTCTCATCTTTCTTCACACTAATTTCATTAAAAATTAAGGGTATTATCTATGCTTTGTTATATATCATGATTTGCTGCTATCTATACGTATAGGTTGAAATGGCCAGAAATACAATCACCTCAACGATGATAGTTCGTGATGTTCTTTCAGAGAGCAATTATAAAGAGTGGAGCAATTGCATGAAAAACTATTTATTGGCTCAAAATCTTTGGAATGTTGTTGAATCGAGCAATGTACCATCTTCTACTGATGAAGAGGTTACCGCTAATTGGAAGAGAAAGAATGCTACGGTTCTACACGCTCTTCAAATCTCATGTGCACCGGAGATTTTTGCTCGGATAATGGAAAAAACTTCAGCGAAAGACGCTTGGGAAGAATTGGCTAAAATACATGAAATGAAGAATAAATGGCACTTGGATGGACCTCAATCATCAAGGCAATGTTCAGAGCTCCGCAGATTCTTTGAGGGAACCATTAGAGGTTGTTGAATTCCTTTTCTTTAGCTCCAAAAATACATATGATCAATATATATATATATATATTTCTATAATCCCTTGGTGAGGTTTCTTAAGGACTTGAGAACTTAATTTGTTGCAGGGAAAACGGAGCCCATTGAAAGGAGTCGTAC